TGATCCCAGAGTTGCCACTTTCTGAGCTCCGTAAAGGATTCAGCGGCTGGTGGTAGTGTTTATCTTGGTTTTTTTTTTAATTCTGTTTTTGTTTTTTGGGGGGTAGGAATTAAATCTGATATTCTCAGTTCACCCTAGGGTGGTCCGAGGAAATGAAGTAGTACTCTTACTCTTTGGCCTCTTTCAGTGTCAACCCCCTGCCCCCCATCCCCAGCCAGCATATTTTAGAGTATAACGGACTTGCCTACTTTTTAATTTTAAGCAGGGAAGTTTGGCACCTATAGTCCCCTTTGTGGGAAGTACCCAGAGGAGTCTCGGTTGTGACTATAGAGTGGGAAAAGGAAGGGGTACAGAAAAGATACCCTGCCTTTTTCTTGAAGAAATTTTCATTGTCTCATGTCTAATTTTTTTTGGTACTTTTAATAGTAAACACTGCCTAACATCAAAGCAAACAGACCCAAAAGCTAAGTGCACCTTCCCCACCCCTGTGGAGTGGGACTGATGTTGGCCTGAAGAGGGGCTTCCAGATCCCAGCAGGTGGTGCAGGGGGATGGGATGCACCCGCCCACAGGCCTGGGCTGTGTCTGGCTCCTGCGCCTGGCCTAGCCTTTCTGCTGTGAGGGACAGAGGAAAGAAAGAGAAAGGCATTAGTCTTTAGTGATAAATTCAGAGAGGACACAAGGGGAAACAGGCTCCAGGGTTAATCGTCCCAGAGACAAGTGGCACTAGCAGAGAATGTGCAGCTGTATGGCACCCAGGAACACCTCTAGTATCTCTTTTTCTGTACCATAATCTCCCTAGAATTGCTGATGCAGCTGAAACCAATAGCATCTTCATAGAGTCTTGTGTGGGTTTAAGAGCACTGGACCGTGCTTTGGCATCTTCTACCCTGTCTGGCATGGCTGCTTTAGCCCATACTGGCTCCAGGCCCCCTTGGGTGATGTTGCTTTGTGCTCCAATTGCTAGTCGGAGCTGTTAGAGGAATAGTTTGGGGTCTCAATGTGATACCTAGAGAATGCTGCAGTCTGCACACTAGACGCTTTTTAGAAGTTTTGAAATTAACCTTTATCTCCTCTTTCTTTTTTAAATTGTTATGAAAACAAAACCTTTTTTCTGGACTCTCTCTTCTCACATGCTCTGTTACCTGGAGAGAGTTCCTTTCCCAAGTTCCTCCCTGCCCCTTCCAAATGTATACATCATTTTCCCCTACACCAGCTGAACAGATGTCAAAATTAATAAAGAAATGAACACATAGAGAACGGCTCAATCTCTCTCTGGGGAGGGGGGAGGGGGGCAGGGAACAATGGAGGTGGGGAAGGACAAAAACTGGGTTGAAGAAGGCCTGAGGGGAAAAAAGCTGAGCTCATAGAAAGAGAGCCGATTTAAGAAGACTACACATTTCTGAAAATAGCTGTGAAGTCGTCCCCAAGAAAAGTCTGAAAGGGATCTCTGAGCAGGGACTGAAGGAAGAGAGAGTGGGGGTGGGGGGACCAATATCTAAGAGGCTAGGAAGCAGATACCATCTAAAAAAAGGTGGCATATACACTATGACCTATAAGGAGGCAGGAAAGAAGGGGGGGGGAAGTCCTGATAGAAACAATAAGAAGACAAGGGAAATGGGGGGCATATTAGAAGGGCTTCTTCACCTGGGGTCCATTAACTTTTAAGAAAGATATATTTTGTTTCATATCATTATTTTCCTTTATGATGTCTATATTTTATTTTATGCATTTAAAAACACGATTATGAGAAAGAGTCCCTGCATAGGCTTCAGCAGACTGACTGCCAGAGGGGTCCACGACACAAAACAAGTGAAGAACCCCTGGGCTTAGACGGGCTGCATAGGCACCTTGTCATTCCCCAATGGGGTTCTCTTGATCATTGTATTCATCCCACAAACAAAGAGACAATTCTTCACTCCCCAAAAAACACAGAATTGTAGTTGGTCTTCTTTATAAGCTATAACCATTAGGGGGCAATCTACTCACGTTTTCTTTCCACCAGCATTGTCCAAGCTATTAGTAGAGCCCTAAAGAGGTCATCCAGCCCATCCCCCTGCCTCTGGGCAACACTTCAGCGACCAAGGAAGGAGAAAAGGAAGGAAGGAAAGGAGGGAGGAAGGAAAGAAGAAGAGGGAAGGAAGGAAAGAAGGAAGGAAAGAAGGAAGGAAGGAAGGAAGGAAGGAAGGAAGGAAGGAAGGAAGGAAGGAAGGAAGGAAGGAAGGAAGGAAGGAAGGAAGGAGGGAGGGAAGGAAGGAAGGAAGGAAGGAAGGAAGGAAGGAGGGAGGGAAGAAAGGAGGGAAGGAGATAAGGAAGGAAGGGAGGGAGGAAGGGAAGGAAGGGAGGAAAAGAAAAGAAAAGAAAAGGAAGGAAGGAGGAGGGAGGGAAGGAGAGAGAGAAGGAAGGAGGAAAGGATAAAATAGTTATGTTGAAAAGCACATTTGCAAGTATTAAGATGGCCTTCCTTCAGATGTTCTCAGTAATAATACCTTACTTACAAGTGTAGTATACTTTTTACAAAGACCTTCCACATCCATTATCACATTTGCTCCTCACAATACGCATGTGAGAGGGGCAACTAGGTGGCACAGTGGATAGAGCACCGGCCCTGGATTCAGGAGGACCTGAGTTCAAATACGGCCTCAGACCAAACACATGACACTTACTAGCTGTGTGACCCTGGGCAAGTCACTTAACCCCATTGCCTAGCCAAAAAAAACCCCAAAAAACAAAACAAAACAATACCCATGTGAGGTGAGTACAATGGGTAATAATATCCTCATTTTTTTTTTGTAAGGAGCCTTCAGCTCAGAGATGTGACTTGTCTAAAGGTCACCCAGCTGAACTACAGCATGCTTCTGATTCTAAGGCCAGTGCACATTCTATTCTGGGGCGCTGCCTTTGTATCAGTAGGGTGTTGGCTTCTACTTTTCAGAAAACACATCAAGGAAGCAGAACTACTCATCCCCAGATAACACTACTTTAAATCTGTATGCAACTGTACAGCAAAATGACTAAGAGTTAGGAAATTAACCCTATTTTCCTAGGGACTGAATTATTCTGCTTGGCCCCCAAGAGCAGAACTGAGCAACAGACGCAAAGAGGTTGATCTCAGTTTGATAGAAGGAAAATTCCTTATCCTAACAATTTGTTGATGGGTTGTTTTTTCAGTCCTGTCTGACTCTTTGTGACCCCATTTGGGATTTTCTTGGCAAAAATACTGGAGTGGTTTGCCATTTCCTTCTCCAGCTCATTTTACAGCTGAGGAAACTGAAGCAAATGGTGAAATGACTTGCCCACCGTCATACAGCTGCTAAATAAGTGCTGGAGGCCATATTTGAACTCGGCTTTCTGACTCCAGGCCCTGACACTCTATCCATAGCGCCACCTAGTTACCCCATCCTAACATTTAAAAATGTTTGAAAATAGATCGAGCTGCCTCAGGAGATAGTGGCTTGTCTATCACTGGGCATGTCCAGAAACATCAGAAAAGAGATTCTTGGCATGTGTTAGATTAGATGGCCTTTGGGGTCCTTTCCAACTTTGAGATTCTACATACCAGCTCTGGGGGTGCTTTCTTAGCAATCCTGACCAAGTCACCAAACCCTCATTGCCCTATTAGTTAATAGGGATGGGTGAAAAACAAACAAATATGCCAGAGCTGGAGGGTTCTTGGGACTACATAGCATGTAAATAAAGGTGGCATATACAAACATATACGCACCTTGGACTTACCTGTCATCCTTAGCACCAAATAGAAACAAGATGAGTCCGAATCCTTTTCAGATCTGTGTCCAGAGTGCCCAGATATAAATTACCTATAAACCCGTTTGTCACCTGCAGCCACCTATCTCCCAGTCCCAGGCACACAGGCTCCCAAGGTCCATCGCCTCTTCTTGTATTCATGTTAGGGAGAAGATGATGAAGCACATAGATGCCCTCAACTTACATTACATGTTCAGGGTCAACCTGGTAGAAGAGAGTTCAGAACTGCTCCGAGCCCAGGAAGAACTTGGGGGCAGGACCATGACTGGAGAAGTCCCTGAGTACCTGAGGAAAGGGTCTGCCTAGCAGGGATGGGCCACCCCCAGTGACAGAGCCAGAGAGCCAAGAGCTATAGGAAATTCAGGCAGAACCCTCAGCTCCAGATATCTCTGCCTCGGGTGAGTGGGTCACTCAAGGGTTTTTGTAATGGTGACCTCTTCCTGTTCCAGAAGCCCTGGAGGAGGCCCTTGGTGTCACCTTCTCAAAGCCCCTGGGAATATGGAGAGGGGGGTGGAGGGAGGGGCTGCCTCTGAAGATGAACTGTGAGCTTCAAGACCGGTCGAGCTAATGAACTCACACACACACACACATATGCACACATGCGCTCCTGTGCACACGCTGATCTTACAGTCAATCTTTCAAAGTGCAATTTGTCCAGGAGAAGCCAATATGAGGCCCGTCTGGGGCTCTAGCCAATGGTAACACAGTTCCTCCGGCTCAGCCAGTCTTGGCCCTGTATTCTAATAGGCCATATCTTTATCAGGGAAATGTTGATTCTCCTGAAGTTAAAACTTCTCATGGAGGGACCCCCGGCTCAAAGACAGAGGAATGGTTTGAGCTGAGGAGTGGGGCGCAGCCACCTAAGGGAGACAGGAGTGCAGTCTAGCCTCCAGCGTGGAGATAGAGGACTGAGCAGGAACCACATTGGCCAGACCTTTCACCCACTCTAGGGCCAAACTCGGTTCCAAGCAGCTGACGTGGGTGCCCAGCGCCCTCTACAAGCCGCAGTGGGTGAGGGCTGAGGGTGGAGGCCAGATGCTCAGGTTGGGTGGGGTGGGGGGGGATTGACAGGGAGGCCGTGGGCTACGCTGTTGGCGCAGACCTTGCAGACTGCTATGGGATCTCGGCCGGGAGCCCCGAAGCTAGGACTGTAGGGGCTGGGTGTTTGGACTCCAAGAGAATCACACCCCTCCAACGTCTCCTCTCCCCAGCTTTGGGGAGAGGGAGCAGCAGATCATGGAATCCAATCTACAAGGGACCTTCTTGCTGAACAACACGCCGCTGGCCCAGTTCTCTGAGATGAAGGCACCTATGTGCCAGTACTCAGTGCAGAATTCTTTCTACAAGCTCAGCCCCCCCGGGCTGGGCACCCAGCTGGCTGCCGGGACCCCCCATGGGATTACAGATATCCTCAGCAGGCCAGTGGCAACTCCAAACAGCAGCCTTCTTTCAGGCTATCCCCATGTGGCTGGCTTTGGTGGACTCGGTTCCCAGGGTGTCTACTACGGTCCCCAAGTGGGGAATTTTTCCAAGGCCGGGAATGAGTATCCAGCTAGGAGCAGGAACTGCTGGGCAGACCCTGGGCAGGATTGGAGAGGACGACAGTGCAGTAATAGTGAGTACTTGGTTTCCCTTCCCCACCCAGCCTCTCCAGGGAATAGGTCTGTGCCCCTGGATGGGGAGGGAGGAAGACCTAATAAAAAGGGAAACTTTAGGGATGCATACATGCTCAGGTGGGCAGCCATTTAGTAAGTCTGTACAAGGAAAGATTCGTTTCCTTAGCACTACCCCTGCCCGGCGTTTTTCTCTGCCTTCCTCTAATTCCTCCACAACATGTATTTATTCATCTACCACTTAAATTACCTGGCCCCTGGGGGGGGTCCTGGTGTCTGGTGAATTTAGGACCTCACTTGGCACAACCTTTTAGGGCCATACTTGAGGAACTCATCACTTCAGCTCTATTCCAAGTCAGCCTTTCTTCACCCTCCCTGATCCACGTCTCTTGCGTCCAGGTAGCCATTTCTGGTTTCCAGAATGTGGCCAGTACTCAGGTCCCTCCCCTATTGAATGAAGTCTTCCTATCTCTTCAGTTCCTATTATGTGTTGCCTCCACTTTCTGAGTACTTTACCCCCTCTCTTTGACTTGGGGGAAATGGGGAACTGTTTTCCCCCACCACCTACCAAAGTATAGACATGAAGAGGTAGCCCCAGCCTTGAGGCAGCAGCTGAGCCAGAGCTCAAAGCATGCCCTTGGCCTGAGGACAGCTTTTTCCTGGGCTCAGTTTCTGATTGGATCACAGTGAGGTGCCCCTTGATTCCAGCCTGTGGCTAAAATATCTGGAAGAGGGTGAGGAGACCCAAGGAGAGAAGATAGGACCTTTGTGAGTGTAGGTCTGTTATTGGTGGCCCTATATCCAGATCAGCGAAAGGAAGGGAAGGGAGGATGGAATGTCAGCCAGTTGGAATCCCAGGACTCCTCCCATTTCCTGTCTTCCCTCCATCATCCCCACAGATACTTTGGCTATGGTGGAACCAGGCTTATGGTCAGAAATTTACTCAAACACCCATGGAAAGACCTCTTTTTTTATATAGGTTCAGGTCAAGCCTGGGCACCTGGGTCAGAAAGTGACAGATAGCCCTCAGTGTGCTCTTCCTCTGTCTCTCTCTCTCTGTCTCTCTCTGACTCTCTCTGTCTCTCTCTCTCTCTCCTCCCCCCCTCCTGTCTGTCTGTCTGTCTCTCTCTGTCTCTGTCTCTGTCTCTCTCTGTCTCTGTCTCTCTCTGTCTCTCTGTCTCTGTCTCTCTGTCTCTGTCTCTCTGTCTCTGTCTCTCTCTCTCTCTCTCTCTCTCTCTCTCTCTCTCTCTCTCTCTCTCTCTCTCTCTCCCTCTGTCTCTCCTCCTTTTTTAGAGCAGGCTTTTTGCCTGGTCCCAATCCCCACACCTGAACTATGGCAGGGTCCTGGTACATTTTATCAAACCTCTCTCCCTCCACTTGCTGCTGGGGCAGCTTTAATTTCAAATATTCCCCCATCCTGGAAGGGAGTAACCAAAAGTGGTCTCAACTGCAGAATTAGGGCAAAGAAAGGGGGAAGTGGACAAAAAGTTGGTTACCTGCTTCCTTTGCTCAATACAAACCCTGCATAGCTTTCAGCCTCTAGGCTCTCCCTGTGAGAACCACTCAGGGTCAAGCCAGCTTGGTCAGGGAGCTCCAGCAAGCCCTTTCTGAAGACATTCAATAGAGCCTCTCCAGTTCTTCCTGATTTCGATTTCCGGACTGGCCCCAATCAACAGGTTGTAGACATGGATTTTTCATGTGTTTATGATCAGGTTATGGGCTCTTTATTGTTGGTTACTTCTCTGGGTTCATCTCGATTCTTGATGAATTTAGGTTAGGAGAACAGAGACATAAGAATCCACTGTTCTACAACCCAGAGACGATGTTGATATGAGGGTATTATGTCAATCCCCATCCCCATGCCATGCCCATGCCTGCCATGGTATCATGAGGGGGGCCCTGATCAGGAAGTTCTCAGCACTGGTCTGGCCCTCTGCACGTGGTAGGAAATGTTGCCCGAAGGAAGGGAACACTCTGTCAAGTGTGGAGTTTTAGAGGAGGGCACTATGTTGCATGACTTCTTGGGGAGAGGGCATTGTTCAAGGAGTACTGATGTCTCTCATGGGCAAAACTCTTTGGGTCATTTAGCCTCTCAAGGGTAGTTTAAAGATGAGGCTGAGTCAATAATTGTTATCAATAATTATCATCTGAGGCTTCAGTCCACACTCACTTATTTGCCTTCTTCCTCCCTCCTGCCAGCCCCAGACCCCTTGAGTGACAGCATCCACAAAAAAAAGCATACCAGGCCCACTTTCACGGGACATCAGATCTTTGCCCTGGAGAAAACCTTTGAGCAGACCAAGTACTTGGCAGGGCCTGAGAGAGCACGCCTGGCTTACTCCCTGGGGATGACAGAGTCCCAAGTGAAGGTGAGTTGTTACCCAGCTGCTGTGTCCCAAGGTCTGAACTCAAAAGGTCTTGGTGGGAATGAGACATTATTGTAGGTAGAAAAGTTGGGTGGTAGACAGCCCTGCTGTCTCTTGCCCTGGCTTTTTAGTTCTAATAAGGTCATAGGATTTTAGATCTGGAAGGGACCTTAGAAGTCATTTGGACATCCTCCGCCTCTTTTAGAGGTGAGGAAAATGAGAACTAGGGGATGGCAGTGGCTTGCTCCGGGTCACCTAGGTTATAAATAGCAGATCTGGGATTCAAGCCCCTAATTTCTGATACTAAACTGAGAGCTCTTTCCTACCCTCCACGCCCATCTTCTAGCCTCCTGAAGAAGGAAAAAAGTCTTAGCTATAGAATTAAGGCAAAGAAAGAAGAAAGTAGGCTGAAAATTGGCCACCTATTTGCTTTACTTAATATAAATCCTGCAGGGACCATACTTCTTGAACTTAAGCTATTCCTCACCTGCCCAGCTCCAGCCCCAAATGAAGCCAGAAATCTCAAGAAGGCATCCTTCCTTAGGAGTGGGAAGACTGAGGTTCTAGTCTCACCTATCCCACCATGGATGAATTCCCTCATCCGTAAAATAGAGACAAGAACTACAGCTCCCATTTATTTAAATAGCATTTAAGCTCTTCAAGTTTGCAAATCAATCATTATCTCCTGTGATCCTCAGAATAATTCTGTGAGGTCTGTGCCATTAGAGTCCTCATTTTATAGATGAGAATATACTGATAATACTTGGACTAACATATCCGTGGCTCTGATGTGGGAAACATTTTATAAACCACTAAGAGGCATACAAAATATAAGCTATTAATACATGTACTATTGACCTCAAAGAGTGGTGAGAGTCTGCAAAAGCAATCTGAAAAGTATGTAGGCAAATCAATGAGGTGAATTTTCATTTTTCATGGATACCATTTATTAATAATGTAAACATGGCTGACACTTGGAGGGCACCTGAGAGTTTATGGAGTATTTTTACATCCGTTGTCTTATTTGATCCCTGCAACTACCCTGTGAGATCAGGTGGGAAAGGTATTATTTGACCCATTCTACAGATGAGGAAACTGAGTCTAAGAGCACTTGAGGGATTTACCCAGGGTCCGACAGATACTAAGTGACAGAGCCGGGATTTAAACCAAAGCCTTTTGAATGTGATACTATTGCTTTTTCCACTACAGCTCAGCTCCTGCCTTATTCTATATCTTCTTTACTGTGTCTGATTATTCAGCGTTTTCAGAATAACAAAGTTGGAGATATTTTTGGATACGTTTATGAAGCAGGAAATTGTGAAGTTATGCTTAAATTCATCCTACTCTACTTGTATCAAAGTGCTACAAAGATCTCATTTGACATTTTGACATCCCCTCAGTATAATCCTTCCTTTCCATATTACTCAGTCAACTAGCATTTATTCATCACCCACTGGGTGCCAGGCACTGTGCTAAGCTTCTCATAATCACCAGCCTAGACTGACCAAGCCTGGTACAAGCTGGACTAGCAGTCCCTTTGCCCTCTAGCCCCCAACCCCTCATAGCTTCTCCTACTGCTGAGCTAGGTGAGGCACCTCCAGAGGAGCTTTGTGCTGTAGTGATCATAGGAGAAAGCTTGAAGCCCTGACTGAAATGCAGCCAGAACATTGGACTTGAAGATTAAATGAATTTCAGGAAGAATAGTAATTCTTTTTGGGAGAACAGAAAAGGTACCTAATGGGAAGGGGCAGGATGGTAAAGTGGATGGCTGTCTGGGTCTAGGTTCTTGTTTTGCCACTAATCAATCAATCAGTAAACAAATATTTAGTAAGTCCCTACTAGGCGCCAGGCCTATCCTAGATCCTGAAAATATAAATACAATGAATGAAGCAATGGCTCCAGGTTACAAATCTACATGGAAATATAGATGCATAAATACAAATGGAACAAATGCTAATACTAGGTGGGTGACCTTGGAAGTTAGACTAGATAATCTTTAAGTTCCCTTACAGTTCAAACATTTTGTGAATCTAAATTAAAGGGGGAAAGATGAGTTTCTCTGACAAAAACTTTAAGCAGTGCCTAGGAAGACAAGGGAGCTAATGTCAAACAGAAGCATCTAAAGATTTTTGCTCCAGAAAGGCGATTTAGGAGCACTGGAAGGAAGAAGGAATGTGACAGTTGTTCTGACTGAGGCTTGGATCTTTCTGCTCTATCAGAAGAGGCTACTGAAGCAATAGAGAGGCCAGTTTAGGCTTTGGGAAGGGAGAACTTTATAACTAGTAGAGTTATGCAAAAAATAGAAACGGCTGCCTCAATAGGTCAGGGGCTCCCTTTCTCTGGAGGTCTGACCACTTATTAGGTGTGTTTCTGAGAAGACTCTCTGATCCGGTACGGGTTGAACTAGATAGATGATCTTTGAGCAGAGCTTCTGTGATTGTGTGTATGAAGCTAAGGGACAGGAAGGGCTACGAATCTAAGAAAGTCCTCCCTTGGAGGAACTGGGTTTAACATCGGATGTTGACATGAAGGTATTATGTCATGTCCATTGCCTGTCATGATATCATAAGGGGAGCCCTGATCAGAAAGTTCTCAGTACTGGTCTGGTCCCCTGCATATCATAGGAAATGCTTCGCAAGGAAAGGTGACACTCCGTCAAGTGAGGGGCTTTAGAGGAGGGCGCTGTGTGTGTCTCTCATCTTCCCCCCTCCCCTTAATACAAACTCCAATTGTAGGTATGGTTCCAGAACCGAAGGACCAAATGGCGGAAGAAGAGTGCCCTGGAGCCCTCATCTTCCACCACGAGGTCCACGGGAGGAGGCGGCGGAGGTGGTGACCGCAACAGCTTCAGAAAACGAGGATGATGAGTACAACAAGCCCTTAGATCCGGACTCAGACGATGAGAAGATCCGGCTGCTGCTGCGCAAGCACCGGGCGGCCTTCTCCGTCCTCAGCCTCGGGGCTCACAATGTCTGAAGCTGCTATCTCAACGTCCCCAGCCAGTGCCCATCATCCCCATGATTCTGTGTCATCAGATCTCCCCTTCCCCCGCAAAGAAAAACCAAACCCTGTTCCCCTTCCATTTAAACCACTCGTGTTCAGCACACGTGCGTGCCAAAGAACCCCCATGAACTCGCTACCAAAAATCCATTCATTTAAAAATACATCAGTCTTGTTTCAGCTGGAGATGGACCTGATAATTCAACCTTGATATTTCATTAGGCGAAGCCAGTTAATAAAGCTTTGAAAGCTGATGAAAAGAGGGGGCTGTGGGAAAGGTCTGAATTTCTTCTTGGCTTAAAACCAATTATAATTTCATCATTTTCTCCTTCCTTATTCCCCACCCCCATTCTGTTAAAGGGAAAACGTAAAGAATCATGGGAATGGGTGAGTGTGAATGAGGTTTGACCCCTGCGTGGAGAAGGGCAAGGAGAGAAAGAGCATGAGGGAGAGAAAGAAGCAAAGGGAGAAAGAAGGAGAACAAAATGAATCATTGAAAACTTCCACAACTCCTTGACTCTAATTTCTTGGCTAGGTCCCAGAAGAGTGAGGTCTTCTTCTCTCTGTTTTATAAGCAAGGATGCCCAGTAGGGTTGGGGGTATATGAACATCACAGTTATCAGAAAATGGAGAGGACATGGTCATAGAAAAAACAGAAAGAGCTTTTACATATATACTCTGTTCTCCTTTCCCATCCAGATTCCCCCTTGAAGAGAAGAGACAAAAATATCATATAGCCATTATGGCTATTTTACCCCTGGTGGCCATCCATGCCAGATAGAATTCCCAACACAGGCAATTTCTACTTGGATTAAGGGAAAATAAAAGGCTCACAGCTGAAGAGTAAAGTTGAAGTCTAAACTGGAAGGTCATACATACCCCTAAGAGGAGGCCCCATGGGGTATTTCTTCCCTCCCTTCTGCCTAGAATGTTCAGGTCTCTGCCCCGCATCCATCTGGCTGTCAGACTTTACATTTCTGAAGTGGGAGAGAATTTAGGGTGAGGGCCATGGTGGGGAGTTAGGGGTGGGAGGAGTGCATGGAAGAAATCCCAAGCATTATGCCCACTGGGACTTCTCCACCCCACACCTGGACCTTCTCTGACTTACAAAAAACCCAGGAAAGAAGGCTGTGAGAGACCAGATCTCTCCTCTGGTTGAGGCACCTCCTGCTGGGAAATCTAAGTCTATTCACAGACAGGAAGAACAACAACAAAGTAGGAAAGGGAGAGCAGGCCCCACATTGGCATCTCCTGCCTTCCTCCAGGTTCTCCTGGGTGAGGAGAATGGGGAAAGTAGATGTAAGGAGAGGGCTGGTGGATTCAGGGCGCTTCCTTTTCTCTGTATGGTCCCATTGTCTAGATCCCAGAGGAGCAGGAGACCACTAAGAACAATGCATTACTTTCAATTTAACTGAATCTTGTGCCACAGCAGAGCAAATGAGACAGGGAAGAGAGGCGGCAGCCTCAGGAGCCTCCTGGGGTGGGAGGGAGAGTGAGGCTGGGGCAGAAGTGGCAGAGGAAGCTGCCCTGGAGGAAGGGAATGTTGCACTTACTGATCTCCTATGGTTCTGAAGAAAATCGAATAAAAGTAAGTCCCAAAATCTTGGCCATGACTCACATGTTCCTGTGAAAGGCATGATTCTTCTCCGCAGCAGAAAATTAGCTCTGTTTATTTCACATCTCCTTCTTACTTGTCAAGGCTCCCCTTCAAGACAAACTTGCTTCCTAAGCAAGTAAGCTAGCTATTGAGAGCCCTCTCCCTCAGGAAGGATGGGTGGTTTTACACACACACACACACACACACACACACACACACACACACACACACACACATACACACGCTGTGGATGTATATATACACGTACTTATTTACGTATATGTATGTATACATATATAAGGAAAGTTTTGTAAAAAGCTTTATAAATGTTATGTCATTTTAATTCTCACAACAAGCCTGGGAAGTAGGTGCTATTATTATCCCTGTTTTAGAGTAGAGGAAACTGGGGTAGGCAGAGGTTAAGTGACTTGCCCACAGTCACACAGCTAATAAGTGTCTGAGGCTGGATTTGAACTCAAGCGTTCCTGACTCTAGGCCCAGCACCCTATTTACTATACCACCTAGCTGCCTTTTACTGAAGTAAAGAAAAATGGAAGGATGACATTTCACAGGATCTGAGAGAAGACTCTTTTATGCGCTGATAGGACAAAAAGATTAGAGAAATGTCCGATCCAGTCCCCTCTACAGTTATCCCTTCCACATTGTGACTTTCCCCATCAAGGTTTCAATATATCTCGGGTTGGCATAAGAGATTAAATGATAATTTTGGGGAGTTTTGTGGAAGCTGCAGATGACACAGGCCAGCAGATGACACAGAAAAAGTTTAGAAACACAGAAATGCATATTGTATCATATAACATCAACCCAAATTTTACAAAAAATAAACATTGTAAACACCCCATGAAAGAAAAAGAAAAAATTCAGACTTCTTCTCTGGTACAAAGAGGAGACCAAAAAATTTTATTCAGACTTTCCATATTACAGGGGTGCCAGCCCCCTCAGTGTCCCTCCCTCCCCACATACAGAGAGAGAGAGAGAGAGAGAGAGAGAGAGAGAGAGAGAGAGAGAGAGAGAGAAGGGATAACTGTAGCAAGCATTTTACTAAGTACCTACTCACTCCATACAGGAAATTGTGCTAGACAAAGGAAGTACCAAATAATAACAAAAAAATGGTCCCTGGAACTTACATTCTCCTAGGGGGAATACAACTATAAACATACACATGTCTATGATATTTTGAGAATGGAGTGAGCACTGAAAATTAAGAGAAGCAGGAAAGACCTTCTGAGGATGTGACACACAGAGCTGCAGGAAGATGGGACTTCTTAGAGATGGAGGTTAGATGGAATGCCAAGTTAAGGGTCAGTTTTGCTGGAATAGAGTGTGGGAAGGAAATAAGATGCAGTAAGTTTGGAAAGATAGCTGGATTGTGAAGAGTTTAAATACCAACCAGAGGAGTTTGTATTTTGTCCCAGAGGCAATAGACAGCCAGCAAGTCTCTTGAGAAGAGAAGCACAATAATCAGACTTGTGTTTTAGGGAGATTACTTTGGGTGCTGTGTAGAGGATGATTTGAAGAGGAGAGATCCTGGAAGCCCCAAGTCCCATTAGGAGGCTGTTGCCTCTGAACAGGCAAGAGATGGTGAGATCCTTAATTAAGATGATAACTAGGGTGAATGGAGATAAAGGGGCAGATGCAAGATGTGTTGTGGAAACAGAATTGACAAAAGTGGAAAATGATTGAATGGGGGGGCAGGGGAGGGAGAGGAAAAACTCCACATTTATGAGCATGGGTAATGAGGAAGATGGTAGGGGCCTCAAGAGACAACGAGAGAAATCTGGAGGAAAGGTAGGTTTAAGGAGACAGGTTTGAACACACTGAGTTTGGGAGACCTTGAGGTGGGAGGAATACACAATCAGAAAATTTACACTTTCTTTAACTATAGTACCAAAGATCTGATTTAGCCCCAGTACTCAAAAATTCAGCCAAGTGCTTTTCAAATTCCTAGTAAGGAATCTAGAGTCAGGGAGGCCAAGTTGGAAAGGCAATAGAAAGACAATAAACTTGGAATCAGACAGACTTGGATTCAAATATTGGCTCTGCTGTTTACTGGATGATAATAGGCTATTCAATTCCCTTCTCTAAGCCTCAGTTTCCTCATCTATAACATGGGGATAATATTACCCACCTCCACTCCTACTCTTTTCCTTAATGTCTATGTCACTGCAGCCCAAGCTTTGGCAGGTCCTGCCAAGCTGGGAAACTTCCTAGTGCTTGCCCAGCAATGACTAAAAGTTCAGAGATTCAAAATCAATAGACCAAAGGATGACAAATGTTACTGCCAGGAGCCACTAGATGGCACAGCCAATAGAGTTCCAGCCTTGGAGTCAGGAGGACCTGAGTTCAAATTCGATCTCAGACACTTGACACGTACTAGCTGTGTGACCCTGGGCAAGTCACTTAACCCCAACTGCCTCACAAAAAAAAAGAAAAAAGAAACGAATGTTACTGCCATAGCAATTTTTAAAGGCTATCCACTCAGACACAGAAGGGTTGCAATCTGCATCAGTGGAGAGAACGCAAATGCCCCCAAAATCATGGCTCCTGGAAGTTTTAAACTGATTTCCCCAAATCAAGTCCCTGCCCACCCTCAACTTCCCATTCAAAAATCTTTCATGGCTTTCTAGAACCTCTAGGATACAATCTAAAAGCCCCAGCTTGCCATTTTTATTCCCTCCATACCCTGGCTCTTTGTTGTTCATTTTATTTCAATCATGTCTGACTCTTTGTGACCCCATTTGGGTTTTTCTTGGCAAAGATACTGGAGTGGTTGCCATTTCCTTCTCTAGCTCATTTTACAGATGAGGAAACTGGGGCAAACATGGTTATTAAGTGACTTGCCCAGGGTCTAACAGCTAGTAAGTGTCTGAGGCTGGATTTGAACTCATAAAGATGGGTCTTCCTGACTCCAATGCTGGTCCTCTATCCTCTGTGCCACCTAGCTGCCCTCCAGGCTCCTACTTACCTTTACAGTCTGGTTTCACATCACTTCCCTTCATTATATTCTCTGTTCCAGTTAAGCTATCTTGTTCTCTCATCCATTGCATCTTTCACCTCTGTAGTCCCCTCTATCTGAAACGTACTCCTTCCTTACCTCCATCCACCTTATAGAATCCCTAGCACAACTTCAATGCCACCTTCCACACAAGACCTTTTCCGATCCTCCCAAGCATTAGCATCTCTCCCTTTTTGTAAATACACTATATTAGTTTGTATATAGTTTGTGTTTATTTATCTTTCCCCCAAGTAGAATGTAAAATCCTTAAAGAAGTAACTCTCACTTTCGTCTTTGCCTTCTCAGTGCCTGGCACATAACTGTTGTTATTGTTGCTCATTTTTCGTCTTTGAAGAAGATCAATGACATCATGGGGTGATGTCTTTACTTCCGCTTGAATTGGATTCGAGTGAGTCTGAGTTACAAAAAGTTGCTCTCTTCCAGAGTCATTAAAGTTTAGTGGCAGAACAGAAGCCACTACTACTGGCAATGGCCTAGGACACAGTGGATGACCTTGGC